CTTCCTCTGTCTCTGGAGTTCTGGGATTAAAGATGTGTGTTACCATGCCCAGCAGCCTTCTTTTTTTCTTTTTTCTTTTTTTTTTTTTTTTTTTTTTTTTGGGGGGTGGTGCTGGGAATTGAACTTGAGGCCTCACACATGCTAGGGAAGAGTTCTGCCACTGAGCCATATTCCTACCCCTCATTGCTTCTTGGCCACATGGTGTGAGCTCTCTGTTCTGTCACACCCTCCCCACCAATAGACTGGAATCAGGACTCTGCCATCTTCTCCCTCCAGTTGTTTTCTCTCAGATATTCATTACAGTGGTGGGAAACTGACACCAGGGCCGTCCGTCCGTCAGTGTTACTGGATAGAGGCAGTAAGCCAGAGTTTTCACCTTTGGCTTCCGAGATCCTGGTCAAAGCTGCTTTGGCACCTTTTCACAATCTCAGACTTCCGTGCTCCCAGTTTGGGCTGATTGAGCTCTCGGCATTTCAGACAACAAAGGCTGATGGATAGTAGGCCTCTGTGGACCCTCCTGTCTCTACCTCCTGAGTGCTGGGATTGAAGGTATGTGCTACCATGCCCAGCACATTATGTGTAAAGTTTTAAAAGGCTTTTTATGGTTTAGAATTTCTTAAGTAGAAGACACTTCTTTCAAGCCAAGTATGGTGGTGCTTAACAATCCCAGTGCTTGGAGGCAGAGGCAGGAATTGGAGGCTGGCCTAGAGAATCCCAGGCCAACCTAGTTCCAGAGGGGGGAGGGAAAGAGGGAAGGAGGAAAGGAAAGAGGAGGAATGGGAAGGGAGGAAAAGAATTCTTTAATATTAATATGACCCTTAATTGTTTTTTTCTTCTCAGTGATTTTTCAGGAAATTGTCTCCACCAAACTAAAGAAATTGGTAGTTTTTTTGTTGTTGTTGCTTGTTTTGTTTTTAATGATCTTAAGAACCTGTAATACTTAGATGTTGAAAGTCGGAGTTTAAATGTCTAGATCAGACTGTCCAACCAGTGCTGTACAATCAGACCCCAGGTGGCTGACTTGCAGCTTCTCTGGCTGGTTCCTCCTAGCTAAATGCCCTCTGTCAGCTCACTCACAGACTCTCACCACCCAGCCTCAAAGCCAGCTTTCACCAGGACCTCTAGGCACCTGCTCCTCTGCTACACAGATGCCTGCTGTACTCGGCTTCCTCTTTCATATCACCCAGCACCAGCTCACATAAGGTTTCCAACTAAGTGCAGGTTAAAACACATGCTTTAGTTATGGAAGGTGAACAAATCAAAACAGAAGTGACACGAGGTCTTATAAATAGATCTCTCTCTTTTTTTTTAAAGCGTTCTTTTTTTTTAATATTTATTTTATTTTTTGTGTATGTGTGTATTGCCTGCATGTAGGTAAGTGCACCCCTGTCGTGCAATGCCCTCAGAGGACAGAAGAGGCTGTCGGATCCCCTGGAACTGGAGTTAGGACAGTTGTTAGCTGCCATGTGCGTGCTGGGATTCGGACCCAGGTTTTCTGCAAGAACAGCCAGTGTTCTATCTCTCTGGCCCCCTAAAATTTTTTAAAAATTTTTTTTATTGTATGTGTATACATGTATTGCCTGCACATAGGTAAGTGCACCCCTATTGTGGGGTGCCCGAAGACAACAGAAGAGGCTGTCAGATCCCCTGGAACTTGAGTTATGGATAGTTAACGGCCATGTGGGTGCTGAGATTCAAACCCGGGTCTTCTACGACAACAGCCAGTATTCTTAACTGCTGTGTGCTATCTCTCCAGCCAAATAGATCTCTTTAAGAGGTCCTATAAATAGAAAGAAAACAAGTTTAAAAATTGAATCCCCAAACACATTATTTGACAGCAAGCAAAGGCAGGAGGAAGAGGCACTGGGCTGCCTAACTAGAATTCTTTTGGGTCCTCTGTTTAGGGGCCTCTCCAGAACAAACCCACCGAAGGCAAGAACCAGACACAATCCTATTACAGAGTTGTCCCTGAAAGCTCTGGGGACTCCAAAAGGTTGATTAGCCTAATGATCTTTGTTCCAAAGCTCAATTTGACATATGATACACTCCCTGGATAGCATCCAGAGGGATTGAGTTACCAAGGTACCAGGGGGGCTAGTGAGATACTATTTTGGGGCTCTGTGTGGTAATGGAGGGGTGCTGTGTGTAGGGTGAGTAAGAAGAGAGGCCCAACAGTGATGAACTGTGAGTAGATGGAACTAAGGTAGCATCTTAGGCAGGAGACATATAGTATGACACCTTGCTCTTAGTGTTTTATGTGGCTACTTCACCTTGGCCTTAGATATGGGCGTTGTGCCCTCACAGATTAGTACATGGAAATCCCAAAAGACTGATAACCGCACATACCACATAGTTTTAAATGCTAGGCATGGATATTGAGTACAGGTCTCACACTCAAGCCAGTGTTCTTTCTACTGTCCAAAATCAAGAACGTTTTAAACGGTTTTGGCAAGGCTCAGGATTGAACTGAAGCACTTAAATTTGCACTCTGGTAGAAACCTGAACATGACAAAGATGTAAATTCAGTGAGAACTCAAGTGTGGAGAGTGTAGACTGGAGTGAGAATGTGAGAGTGGGCACTGTAGACTGGAGTGAGACATTGACCTATAGACCTGAGTAGACTTTTACTGAAGGCTCTAAGAAACATTAGTATCAGTCCTTTTGTCAAATACTGTAGGACTCAAGGTACTCATACTTTTTAATTACCCCTCACACACATCCTGTAAAACTTGTTTGTACAAAAGCCCTGCTGCATTCTTGAAACCTGATACCTGGGACAGTTGAGCCTCCCTTTCCTACCCCTTTCCCAGCTCTTCATTTCCTATGGGGACAAGTACTCTTGTGTTGGGGATTAAAACCTACCAACCTTCTGGGTTGTGCTTGCTTCATCTAAATTTTGCAGCACACCCTTTTGCAAAAGTAAAAGCTGCCTTGCTGAGTTATTTTGCTTTGTCCCCACGTTCTTTGTGCCATATCAGTGGGGGGTCCTTGGACCTCAGATTTTATTTCTAAGGAGCAGCCCAGCAATCCCATTCTGGAAATATCCCTGACAATTCTTCGCAAGAATGTGCAAAAATGCTCATGATGCTATTATTCAAAATAGCTATTTTTTTAAAAGGCTAGGTCGTCACTCAGTGGTCAAGGACTTCTCTAGCATGTGTGAGGCCTGGGTGTTCTGTCCCTAGTATTATGCCAAAGTAAGTAATAATTCAAATACCATACTAGGGATGTAGCACAGTGCCTAGCTAGCATGGATGTGGCCTGAGCTCAATCCCAGCCTTGAGGGAACAAAAGGAAAGGAACAAAAGGTTTCAGGTGGGCTTAGTGGCACACATCTACACTCTAGTATTTGGGAGGCAGAGGCAGGAAGGTCAAAAATTCAAGGTCGTCCACCATGATGGCATACACCTTAATCCCAGCACTCCAGAGGGAGGCAGAGGCAGGAGGATCTCTCTGAGGTCAGCCTGGTCTACAGAGCAAGTTGCAGACTACAGGCTACAGGGAGACCCTGTCTCAAAAAGAAAAAAACCCAAAAAAACCCAAATTGCAATGCATATACCCATCGCCACCCCTACCCATAATTAAAAAAATTTTTTAATCTCAAAACAATGTTAAACTTGCAAAATTATACAAATGGCATTTTTTTATTAAAATGAAAGTGCTGCTGGGCATGGTGGTCCACACCTTTAATTCCAGTACTCTGGAGGCAGAGGCAGAAGCAAGCAGATCTCTGGTCTACATAGTGAGTTCCAGGCCAGCTGGTGCTACAGGGAGACCCTGTCTCAAAAAGACAAAAAAAAAACCCCAAGACACAAGAAAGTGCTAAGTTACTGTTACTGATACACAGATATGTGATTAATGTGTCAATAAAAACAACAGAATGGGGGCTGGAGAGATGGCTCAGCAGTTAAGAGCACTGGATGCTCTTGAAGAGGACCTGGTTTCAGTTCCCAGCACCTACATGGTAGCTAACAACCAGCTATAACTCCAATACCAGGGGATCTGTTGCCCTCTTCTGACCTCCAGGAGCATTGCATGACACAAGTGCACTTACACATATCTAGGCAATACACTCATACACATAAAAATAATAAAATAATTTAAAAATATTTTTTAAGCTGGGTGTAGTGGTACATGCCTTTAATCCCAGCACTCAGGAGGCAGAGACCGGCAGATCTTTGAGTTCAAGGCCTGCCTGGTCTACATGCTGAGTTTCAGGCCAGCCGTAGCTACAGGGGGACCCTGTCTCAAAAAGTTTAAAAATAAATAAATAAATAATAATAATAATAATAATAATATATCAAGCCTGAAGACTGGGAAAGAAACTGGTAGTTTTGATAGATTAAGAAAAATTCTGTTGTGTTTTTTCTTTTTCTTTCTTTTTTTTTTTTTTCTGTCTTTTTGAAGCAGGGTCTCCCTGTAGCCCCAGCTGTCCTGGAACTGACTATGTAGACCAGGCTGGCCTTGAACTCACAGCAATCCACCTGCTTCTGCCTCCCAAGTTCTGGGACTACAGGCATGCGCCACCATGCCTGGCTAAGAAAAATTCTGAAAGAACTCTGGATGGGCCGCTCTGACTATAAAGCTTTTCATTCAGGAAGCAGGAAGTGATCACAGTCATCAAAACTGTAGTGCTAGATTTTTTACCTCTATTCTATCACAGGAATTGTATTATTTGACTCAGGGGGTTGCTCTGAGGATTAACAGGAGAATAGAGATAAAGTATAGGGCACAGGAACCCCAGAAACCAGGGCATAAGCTCCAGGAGGTGCACAACTGTGAAGGGGTGTTGGGGCATGTGTGGTGCAAGGATGCCAGCATGACCTAGTGACCAACAAACACTGGAAAGGGAGAGGAAAGAGTGATTGGCATTCAGCCATTAGATTCTAGTAGTTGACATCAGGGATTGACAACTATATCACTTTAAATCAGTCCATGCCTGTTTTTTTTTTGTTTGTTTGTTTGTTTGTTTTCCTTTTATTTTTTTCTTCCAATTTTAGTACTGGGAAATTTGGTGCTTGTTTTATACCAGGACTATGTAAGCAAAGTGATCTAACCCTTTATGCATCCCGGCCTGGGCTACGGCTGTGGAAGGCTGACGTCCATGGAACCGTTCAGGCCACCTTCATCCTAAAAGATGTCTTTGCTGGAGGAATCACACCTTTTGAGCTGTACCCACGTCTGGAACCTTCTGATGGGGGAAGCTGCAGCTCACCTGAGAAACACCTGGGACTTGTGACGTGCTTCTTCCGAGAAGGCTGGGTATTGAGTTGGAATGAGTACAGCATCTATCTTCTGGACACCATCAACCAGGTGTGTGGAACAGCTGTGCTTGTCTGGTGTCAGAGAGCAAGACGAGGCTGAGTGTCCCCCAGGTGCTTGGCATGGGGCTCCTGGGAAGATAGCTGTAGCACTGACTCTTTTGCTTTCTTTTTCCTTTGAGGCAGTCAGGGAAATCAAATGACAATCTGGTAATTTCTGTGGATTTGAAAAATAATTTCCTTTTGATATTCATAGTCTTGTTCTTTGCCAAGAAAATAGTGTTTTTAATCCTAAAATTGTGCTTTATAACCTCTTAGGGTCATATTTTCCATTTTTTATATATAATGAATTTTAATCATTTCATTTATTTTGCCTACATGTATGTTAGTGCACCCATGTCATACAGTGCCAACAGATACCAGAGGATGACATTGGTTCCTCTGGAACTGGAGTCACTGATGGTTGTTAGCTGTCATGTGGGTGCTGGGAACCAAACCCAGGCCCTCTGCAAGAGCAGCCAGTGCTCTTAACCCCTGACCATTTTTCTATCCCCTTTCCTTTTAATAAATTACATTTATGTATGTATGTATGTATGCATGCATGCATGCATGCAAATGCAAAGTACACAAACCTGAATGCCCTGGCACATGTGTGAGGTGGAGGACAACTTGGGCGAGTCAGTTCTCTCCTTGCATTTTGAGTCCCAGGGATTGAACTCAGGTCATCAGGCTTGGTGGCAAGTGCCTTTATCTGCTGAGTCATCTCACCCATTTTTAAAACTTTTTTCTTTTATGTTTTAAATTATTATTATTATCATTATTATTATTGGTGGTAGTAGTAGTAGCAGCAGCAGCAGTATAATTGAATCCAGGGTAACTTGTGACTACTAAGCACATGCTCTACCAGTGGGTCTTGTGTTTTATTTTGGCATTTTGCAGTACTGGAGTGGAATATAAGGCCTTCTGAATGCTGGGCAAGTCCTTTACTACTGAAATATGTCATCAACTGTGGTTTTGCTTTTTACTTTTTATTTTGAGACAGGGTCTGACATAGCTGCCCAGACTGCTCTTGAACTCTTTTTTTATTGCTCAGGTAAGGCCTTGAACTTGTGATCACCTTGCCTCAGCCAAAAATGCTGTGCTCCCAGGTCTGTCTAGACCATGTGTTTTCTAACTGCCACATTACCATGAGCCCATTCAGTGAGAACTCCCAATATGACAGAAATAGTAACTCAGAGAATGACTGTCCCCCAGGCCTTGTAGGGTGATGCCAACCCAGGAGGGGACTTCTCCAACATTTTCCCCTGATGATTCTTACCCAAATAGAGTCGTGTTATTTTGCCTTTTTTTTCCCCACTTAAAAAAAATTTAATGACAATCTTGGCAACTTTCCAGCATCATTAAATCATGGTAAAAAATCTCTGCCTAAATCAGGGCGATAACAGATTGCCATCAGAGACTGATTAAGGGCTTTGAACAGAGGTGTTTAGTTTGAGTTGCTTTTTGTCCTAAGAGTGGAGCTTTTGCCTGCCCTGCCCATTCTGCACTCCTAGAACCAAGCCAGGCCTCTCCTGCTGTCTCTCCTCCACATGGAGCCCTGTAGGCTGTGGCAGAGCCTTACTAGAGAAAGTTTACCTAGAGAGAGAAGCAACAGAAAGTCAAACTCATCTGTTCCCACTGATGCCTCCCTAAGTACCTGCTGTGCTTGGGGCACAGGTTTAACCCTGGAAGCCTCTGACCTGCCTGATCTCGGTTCCCTCACCTCTGCAGTGGGGCATGGGGTTCTGGGTTAAGGGGTCACCATCTAGCCCTGCATTTTTTCCCTTTGGCAAGGCTTATTTCAAAAGACAGTTTTTGTATTCTTTCCCCATTATGAAAAACGTAACTTTTCTCCTGGGTTCCTGTGGAACTTCGTAATTACTGACTTCAAGACACCCTGTAATTGTTCATCCATCCTTTTCATCTAAGCACCTCCCCAGCACCTCTCACGGTAGGAATAATTAACTTCATTTCATAGGCAGGGAAATGGAGACAGCATGTCTGTGAACAGACACTGCCTCTGCCGTCAGTCTGCCCCTCTCCACAGCACTGTCATTGGCAGCTTTCAGAACCTAATACCCTCGCTGGAACTACCAGTCAGTCTATCAGGGCTGCCTGAAAATTAACAGTGTACTTAACGCTCTCTGTCTTCTGCAGTGAAGTAGTTTTTTTGTAAACTTTTTAAAACTTTTATGTATATGAGTGTTTTGACAGCTTGTATATAAGTACACTCTGTGTACAGTGCCCATGGAAGTTAGAAGAAGGTGTCAGATCCCTTGGAATAAGAGTTACAGGCAGTTGTTAGTCACCATGTGGGTACTGGGAACAGAAGCCAGGGACCTCTTCCCTCCCCCCTTTCATTCATTCAGTAGCTTTAGGCTCCAGGCACACTAGTGTCCCACCAGGGAGCACATAGTAGGGATACTTACTGAGTAGCACATCATTCCTGGTCAGTAGAGGCAGGGGCAGCAGGCAGATCAGGATGACCAGGACCCCTGCCTTGCCAGGGTGTGTGAGCTTCATGTCAAATGGAGGGAAATCTAATGAGTCCAGGGAAGAGAATGGCTGAGTGGTAGGAGAGGCCGTGTACCAGCCATCATGGCATCTCACTGCTCGGTCATGGAACTCCAGATCACACATGTCAAATACTGCCCACCTGTGGTCCAGTTGCTCCTAAGAATTTTCAAGGAGCCTTCATGACAAGTGCAGCAATTATTTGAATTATTTGGATTATTAACTTGCTTGTTTATGCTTTTATCAGTTTTTATTGCCTGGTTTCATCGTTTGTTTGTATGTTTGTTTTGACAGGCCACAATTGCTGGCTTGGAAGGATCTGGTGATATTGTCTCTGTTTCCTGCACGGAAAACGAAATATTTTTCCTAAAGGGAGATAGGAACATTATAAGAATTGCAAGCAGGCCTGAAGGACTCGCATCAGTAGGTTTGTATTTCCTCAAAGCGTGCTGTGTGTACAGTGAGAAGTACTGCACTCTGTCGAATGTAACTGCAGCTTATAATTAGAAAATAGACCATTATTTTGCAGCTAAATTACTCAGCTTTGTTTAAACAAGGTGTTTGGAGGCTTGTAGTTCTGAAAATGTGTCTTGGAGGTGATTGCTTGTAGGGCTTGTGCTGGATAGTCTCATAGCTGGTGGAGCAGTCTCTGTATGTAATGGGTGGTTGTGAATAAGAAGGAGAAGTCAGAAGTCACTTGTCCTATTGAGACACTATGTGCAGCTAATTAATGCCCAGAGACATACTTGTATAAAGTTTTTAAACATTGAAATTTGTGATCTGGTATATATCTTTTGTCCTGGATCTGGACTATCCTTTGCAATTGATCCCCCCACCCCCCATGGTTCGGCTTTTGTTTTAAAATTCATACAAGCCCTACCCTAATATTTTTTTATTTGATTTGTGTTGAGGTTGGTCTCAAACTTGCGTTTCTCCTGCCTTAGCCTCCCAGGTGCTGGGTTTCAGCTCTTTTGTTGTTGTTTTGGTTTTAGGTTTTGCAGTGCTAGGAATTCAGCCCCCGGCCTTGTTCATGTGCAGTTATCACAGAGCTACATCCCCAGCCCTAAACCCACTCCTAATTAGAAAGAATCCTGTGTTCTCATGCTCATATCCATAACATTGGGGTCAATGCTGAACTTGCTTTTAGTGGTGGCAGCAACAGACCCAGTCCTTCCTTATCTTTGCCACTTACCTTGTAAGGTAGCAGAGGCAAGTTGGGATGAATATTCCAAAATCAGAATTATCACAATTCCTTGTCTCCCTGTAGCCCCAGCTGTCCTGGAACTCACTGTGTAGACCAGGCTGGCCTCAAACTCACAGAGATCTGCCTGCCTTTACCTCCCACGAGCTGAGATTGAAGGCGTGCGCCACCATGCCCAGCCACAATTCTTATATAAATAAGCTTTGACTCTTGATTTATGAGCTGTGGACCCCTAAAACGGGATAAGCTAGATGCACTGTGACTCACAGAGTGATGACCTAGAGCTCCTTCCATCCAGAACTTTTCTGCTGTGATGACAGTGCCAAATGTGCACTGTTTGGCAGGTGGTCACCAGCTGTACATGGTTGAGGGGTTCTTCAAGTGGTAAGTGCAACTGAGAAACTGAATTCTGCTTTTTGTTTAGTTGTCATTAACTTGATTTGGGTAGCTACTTGTGGCCAGGCGCTACTCTACAGCACAGCACAGCTCCAGCTCCAAACTGCCATTAACTTATGTAATCTTTGGCAAATCACTTCAGAGCAGTTAGCCCCTTAGTGTATGCTCAGGCACCTACAGTTTGCCCCAATGACTGAGGCTAAGGAGAATGTTCGTGCCTAACAAACAGTCTTCCTGACTACTGTTGACTGGCACCTAGCACAGTATGTGGCACCTAGTAGGTGCTTGGTAATGAAAGGATAACTGGACTGGTCAGAGTGCAGAGCAGTCTTGTGTGGAGGAGCCCTGACCTTCTGACTTCAGTACTACTGGGAAGGGAAGGTCCACTGCAGTGGACATGTCCCACGCTGAACTCTGCACTCGGCCTCCACTGACGCTGACTTCCTCAGGCACACACTTCTCTGTTTTGAGCTCATTCTTGTGGGAAATTCTCTTCAGTTTCAAGTAAAAGACACCTCTATTTTTTAATGCTCTTTGGTAATATTAAGGCATATGGCTAGGTGTGGTGGTGCACACCTTTAATCCCAGCACTCAGGAGGCAGAGGCAAGTGGATCTCTGAGTTTGAGACCAGTGTGGTCTATATGGTGAGTTCTGAGCCAGCCAGAGCTAGTGTGACTGCCTCAAAAAAGCCCCTATGTGGGGCTGAAGAGATGGTTCAGTGGTTAAGAGCACCGATTGTACTTGCAGAGGACCTGGGTTCGGTTCCCAGCATCCACATGGCAGCTCCCAACATTCCATAACTCTGTTCTTCCTCCTGCCGTCCTCTTTTGGCCTCCACAGGCATTGTATACACATGACGCACCTGTACACATGCAGACAAAACACTCATGCACAAAAATTTTAAAAAAGTATTTTTTCTTTTTGGTCTTTTTTTTTTAATATTTTATTTATTTTATGTGTGTGAGTGTATTGCCTGCATGTATGTGAGTGCACCCATGTCGTGCAGTGCTGCGGAGGTTGGAAGAGGGCTGTGGATTCCCCTGGGACTGGAGTTAAGGATGGTTCGTAGCCGCCATGTGGGTGCTGGAGTTTGAACCCGGGTCCTCTGCAAGAACAGAACCATCTCTCTAGCCCCTCTTTTTGAGACAGGGTCTCCTATATTTTTTAAAGTGTGTGTGTTTGTGTGTGTGTGTGTGTGTGTGTGTAAAGGCATATTGGAGGAGATACAGTGTAAATAGGAAGTTCAGCTACATCTTGTTTCTTGTTTCTTTGGTTCATTTTTGGTCTTTTTGAGACAGGGTCTCCTTGTAGCCCCAGCTGGCCTAGAACTCACTATGTAGACCAGGCTGACCTTGAACTCACAGAGATCCTCCTGCCTGTGCCTCCAGAGTGCTGGGATTAAAGGCATGCGCCACCAAGCCTGGCTCTGAATCCTTTTTTTATACAAAAAACTTGAAAATGAATTTGTAAATTGGCCAAGCATGGTAGTATATGCCTTTTGAGGCAGAGGCAGGTGATTCTGTGAAATGAGGGCCAGCCTGGTCTACATAATGAATTCCAAGACTGCTGTGGCCACAGGGAGACCCTATCTCAAACAACAACAACAAAAAAGAATTTGTAAATTGGGTGCAAGAGAGATGACTCACCGGTTAAGAGTACTGGCTGCTCTTATAGGACCTGGGTTCAAATCCCAGCACCCACATGGCAGCTAACAACTGTCCTAACTCCAGTTCTAGGGGATCCAACACCTCTTCTGGCCTCTGTGGGCATTGCACGACATGGGTGAACTTAGATATATGCAGGCAATGTACTCATACACATAAAATAAAAATAATAAAATATTTTTAAGAAAAGACTGACTTGAAGTAAGAAGTGCTGTATTCTCATTGGTGGCGTTCACAAGAGACAGCTACAGTGAAATCCACTGACTTTGATATATGAGCTTCCTAGAGAACAAAGGCCCCTTGAAATCTGTGTCGTTTTTTGAGTGTCGCTGGTTTGGGAATTTGGAATTGCTCCATGTTTAGCAGGCAGGAACTTCAGGTGGTCTATGAGACTGATGTTCAGGGTTAGCCAGCAGGGTAAGTGTGCATCAGCCTTCTCTGTGAGAGCCAGTAATAACACTGTACTCTTCTTTCTCAGTGAGCAATGCACCAGAGATGACAGGATGCTCTGAGCAAGTCCACAGGCAGCATCTGGAGAAGTCACTGGGGGCCACAGTTTGTGAGACAAGGATCCGAGGCTCTTCTGTGGCCAGCTCAGTGGCAAGTGAGCAGCGGAGCAGGAGCAGTTCAATTAACTCCACTGACAGTGGCTCTGGGCTACTGTTGCCTGGGCTCCAGGCCACTTCTGACATAGGCCAAGGCGGCCAGCTGTCTTCACAGAGATTCAGTGTCATCAGTTCTGAAGACTTTGACCAGGAGCTTATTGTGAAACCTATCAAAGTGAAGAAGAGGAGGAGGAAGAGAAAGACAGGTACTGTTCATGGGCAAGCACACACTGACTCTCGTGGCACTTGAGATAGCCTGGCCAGACCTTTTGGGAGTGTGCACATCTACCAGGGAGGAGTGTCACTTCCCACTGATGGGCACTTGCCCCTCCTGGAAAAGCAAAGTCTTTACCTACTGAGCACACTCCTCCCCACACATGTGCACATGGAAAACATCTCTGTTGGGCCTAAGTGACGGTAGAACATTCATCCATGTTTTTAGCCTGCTTAAAAGGTGAAATTATAGCCGGACGTGGTGGTGCACACCTTTAATCCCAGCACTCGGGAGGCAGAGGCGGGTGGATCTCTGTGAGTTTGAGGCCAGCTGGGGCTACAGGGAGACCCTGTCTCAAAAAAACCAAAAAAAAAAAAAAAAAAAAGGTAAAATTAGTAATTGAGTCTGGAGAGACGGCCCGGCCCAGTGGTTAAGAGCACCTGACTTGTTGCCACTCTTCCAGAGGATCCAAGTTCAGTTTCCAACACACGCTATGTGACTCACAACTGCATGTAACTCCAGCTCCTAGAGAATCTGGTCTCTGTGAGCACCTGCCCTCATGTGCATAGTCCCGTACACAGACACACACATATGCCCATGATTTTAAAAAATAAAAATAAGGGCCAGGCGTGGTGGCACACACCTTTAATCACAGCACTGGGGAGGCAAAGGCAAGCGGATCTCTGAGATTGAGGCCAGCCTGGTCTACTTAGTGAGCTCTGTGCCAACTGAGCTACAAAGAGACCCTGTCTCAAAAAGACCAAAAATAAATAAGTAAAGTAAAATAAAAATAAAATCTTTTTAAAATCCTTACTATTTAAATTAAGATGCTGTATTACCATTTCTTAGACCAGAGATTCTATAAGAAAGGATGGGACAGTTATGCAGACAGATTTATGCTGCTGCTGTTTATGTAAGACATTTTACATTTTGTGTTGACATGTTATAAAACATGGGATTTAACAGAGAACTTTGTCTTTTTTGAGACAGGTCTCTCTATGTAGACCAGGCTGGCCTGGATTCACAGAGAACTGCCTCCGTCTGCCCCTCAAGTGCTGGGATTAAAGGCATGGGCCACCATGCCCGGCTTTCTAAACCCTCACTCAATGATGATGCCTGTTTTGCCCCTCTAGCTAAAGATTCCTACAGTATTAAAGGGAAGTTACCACACTCCTAAGCATTTTGATAATTTTTTAACATAGACCTGTGATCCATATCACTTAGTTTCTGATCCCACTTTCTTAGTATTTCTCTAGTGAGGCCTCTGAGTATCTCTTCAGATGGATATTTCTACTTAAAAGACTTCTTTTTTCTCCCTCTCGTTTTATAGGGCAGCCAGGGGCATGGGCTCACTGAATAGCTGAGGCTGCCCTAAAACTTGTTACGTATCCTAGGCTGACCCCAAACTCACGAGCTTCATTCCTCTACCACCCAAGTGTTGGGACTATGGAGGTTAATTCACCAACTAAATGTCCTTCGTTTAAAATATTTTTTTTCTCTGAGTCAGGCGTGGTGGTGCATGCCTTTAATCCCAGCACTAGGGAGGCAGAGGCAGGCGGATCTCTGTGAGTTCCAGGCCAGCTGGGGCTACAGAGAGACCCTGTCTCAAAAAAAGACCAAAAAAAACCACATTTTTTTCTCGATCCTAAAAACAATTGTGAGTATTGTTTCTGTTCATATGGAGTTGTGTCTCATATGGAATGTTCTCGTTTAAATTAGAAAGTGGAAGCAAGAGCACCTGCCACAGTTCCCTGGAGTCAACGCCCTGCTCGGAGTTCCCTGGTGACAGCCCCCAGTCCTTGAGCACAGACCTTCTGTCCCTGAGTTCAAGTGTCCTGGGCAGTAGTGTGGACCAATTGAGCACAGAGTCTCCGGACCAAGAAAGCAACCCCAGTGGTGAGGTGAATGGTGTCTTGCAGGAAAATAACGACCCTGAAACACTGAGTGTGCTAGAGGTGCCCAACTCCACCCCTGATACACTGCGTGAAGAAGAGGGCACTGGAACTGGAACTCCTGAGAGTAACCACATACATGAGATGGACCAGCCCAATGGAGTGTTGGATTTACCCCTGTTCCTCAGGGAGGATGTGGGAGGTACTGATGTCTCAGGCCTTGAAGAGGAGCCTTGTCCTGCTTATGATGCAGGAGTGCACACACGGTTGTGCTTGCGAGAACAGGACAGCTCAGCTGAGGCAGTTGAGGTAGGTAACATGGAGCTCACTGACCCTCAAAGCACTGAAGCCCCTCTTCTGGACTCGCTCATGGTGCCTTCCAGCCTCACCTGGTTCCCGGGAGCTGAGCAGTGGCTGCCTGGGACCGGGGCTGATGAAGGCAGCACTGAGGAAGCCAGCAAGGAGCAGGATATCCTGGCCCACATGGAGGCCCCTAGCCACCTGAGCTCAAGTCCTTGGCATGCTGTCACTGACCATGTCACAGGCCGTCGAGAAACACTCCTTCCTGAAAGTGGCACAGGAAACATGGAAGAACAGTTGATGCCTCTGACCTCTGCCCTGGTGACCAGCATCCACAAGCCTTGGCTGCAGCAACCGTCCCAGGACCAGGCAGTGACATCCAGTGATGAGGAGGACATTTATGCACACGGGCTCCCGTCTTCATCCTCAGAGACAAGTGTGACAGAGCTCGGAGGTGGTCGCTCTCTGCAGGATCTGAGCCAGCCAAGTGCTGATGACACCACACTGCTCAAGTCAGATCAGGTCTGTGGGCTGATGGGGAAACATAACTAAGGCTTCTTTTTTCTTAAGGAGAATGCTTAGCAGGTCTGGTTATGTTCCTTCTTATGGAAATCACATTTCTTGGAAAATCTGGAGTCTTTGAATTCAGGGTTTGGGGAATTTTTGGTGTAGGGGCCTTTAGTCATTTGAACTACTTCTAATCACTCAGTTATCTACTACAAAAAAATTGGCATCTTGCAAGGCCAGACCAGTGTGGGTCTCGTTAGCCTTGTTAACCCTAACTTAACCTGAAGCCATCAGAACACCGCTAGACAGAGGACTGTTTGCTCTGGCAGGTTCAAGGTGGGCAGCTCCTGCCCTTCTCCATAGTCCAGTGCCTTCCAGGAGCCATCAGTGTGAATGGGGCCTTTCCAGAACTGCTACCTCCTCAGCCTCTGGGCAGAGGTACTGGGACTCCCTGCACAGTATGCAGGGCCAGGCATGGGGCCCCAGGTTCCTGGGGTTCACACAGTCAGTGTGGTTCATTGTTCTTGGGCGTCCACTAGTAAAAATGATTTTTAAGTACTTATTTTCTTTAGCAAGTAATTATTATCAAATATATTTGGCTTAAAACTAACCATGTCTCGCCACACTGCCTAGTCATGGGTGTGAAGCTACCTCTGCCTCTCTAGTGCTAAGACCACGTGATGTTGATCAGCTCTCTACCATGGACAGGTTTATGCTGAACTTACCACAAGTTTAGGTCACTTCTTTAAAAACAAAACAAACAACACAGGAACAGCTGTCCCCATTTTACAGAGGAGGAAATTTAGGCCAAGAAGAGTCAAATAGCTGTACCAGGCCACACTCTTAAGTGAAGGGCATAATTCCCCAGCATCCTCGCCCGTCTAAAAAGTGAACGTCCTTATTTTGAGACAAATTGCCGGGAGTTGAGCTATTCATTCAGACTCCTCCATTCGTCTTTTCAGTGCCCTGGTTCCCAAGTGCCCTTACTGTCAGTGTACATGTTCCTGCTGGGGACGCTACAGTACAGGTAGCGACTAGCTGTGTCTCTGGAAAGCCAGATACATACCCAGTTGAGTGGGCCTTAGGTGAGGGCATGCAGTCAAGTGCAGGGCTGTGGGAAGCCACAGCAGCGTATCCACCAGATAGAGTGTTAGATACAGGCAGGTTACAGCTATGGTGCTACTAGGACTCTGCTGGAAGCTTAGGAAAGCCCTCACAAAAGCAAAAGAATCCTGGCCCTCTGAAGGCTCTCCTTGCCAAACTTTGCCATACCTGGTCTTGCTCCAAATAGCTGAAAAACCAAGAAGTTTTGTAGAATTTTTTTTGCAGGGGGGTGGTCGGGGGCTGGGAGAATAAAGCTTGTATTGTGAGCAAAGCCAGGTCGGGAGGTGGGCACCACTCCTTCAAGCTCTCGACTTCAATAGTGGGTATTTGTGAGGGTATATCTACTTCCTTTGTAGATTTAGAAAGTTGTTAAAGTATAAATACTTTATTTAACTTTAACCTTAAAAGAATCTTAGCAACATGGAGCCAGTTGGTAAAGGCTGATGCCAAGTGGATGACCTGTTATCTCTAGGACCCATATACTGGAAGGAAAGAACAGATGACTCACACAGGTCTTTCTGCCTCCATACAGTGGCTGTGTACACACAAACAAAATAAATGTAATACTTAAAAAAAAAAAAAACATGCAGGAGGCAGAGGCAGGTGGATTTTGGGGAGTTTAAGGCCCAGCTGGTCTACATGGCAAGTTCACGCCAGCTGGGGCTACAGGGAAGACCCTTTCTCAAACACCCACACACACAAAAACAACAGAATCTGCAACATAGCCTTGGTATGTAAAATTCAGACCGTCTCAGCCATGCTTCCCTACAGTTACCACATAACATGTCAGGCATTGAGGGTTAGAACAGACTGTGCTTGAAAGACAGACAGTGAAGCCAGGTGTGGTGGTGCACACCTTTAATCCCACCACTTGAGAGGCAGAGGCAGGCAGATCTCTGTGAGTTCAAGGCCAGCCTGGTCTACATAGCGAGTTCCAGGCCATCTGGGGCTACAGGGAGACCCTGTCTCAAAAAGTCCAAAAAAAAGACATTCAGTGCTATACTGTTCCCATAGTACACCTGTCTTGAATAAGTGTACACAAAATTGATTTGCGTGCAAATGTTGATGAATACATCTCCTTATGTAAGGTAAGGCAACAAAATAAAGCTCACTTCTGCCAGGTGTGTGTAGCCCTCATCCTGTGGGCTTCGTGTGTACCAGGATAGCTACGAACGCAAATGCAAAATCATAAACTTCCTTAACATGTTGCAGGGTTTTTCTTTCAACTGTTTTTGGCATCTCAATCTTTGTAGATGACAATGTTATATTGCAGTATCAGGACGGTAGATGCAGCTGCATTATTACTTAGAAAAGATGCTGTACTGTGACAAGATGTTATCCAAGGATGTTATATAGAGTCTTCCATGAGGACTTCAGCTCCTATTCCAGAATGTTCCTGAGACTGCATCCAAGGAGAACAGGAGAGGCCAAGGCTTCTCAGAGATACCTTCACTTTAATATTCTGCCTATTTTTCTTATTGACAACAGTGTGACCATGCAACTGTATCCCCTGCAACAGAACTCACAAGCCTTTGTCCTTGTTAGTTTGCAGAGAGCTGGATGGGCTACTCGGGTCCTGGCTATGGCATCCTCAGCTTGGCAGTCTCCGAAAAGTATATCTGGTGCCTGGACTACAAAGGTGGCCTGTTCTGCAGTGTCCTGCCTGGCGCTGGGCTGCGCTGGCAGAGGTTTGAAGATGCTGTCCAGCAGGTGGCAGTCTCTCCCTCAGGTTGGCCTCCCAGCTCCCAACCCCCAGGCCCTGCTCCCAGCTCAGCCATCACCTCACTAGCCTGCTGTCCTGCAGCAGTGGGCAGCACTCTGCTGTCTACAGATTGGCCTCCTACAGCTCTGCTGGGTTCTGCAAAGGGAAGGGCAGGAATTGCTCCCTTTGACATCAGTTAGTATGACAGGCGTTCAGCATTCTTGCTTGAGTTTTGTTTTTTTGTTTTATTAATTACAGTGGTAACCATGAACATATTTTTGTAAGCTATACAAGTAATTTTGAGTTTTGAGGGTTTTTTAAAGTCATATTGACATACTAAATCCTCATAAAAATAGCATGTGTTTCTGTTTGTCAGTGTTGTTATAAAGTGACTGAACTAGTGATGATAGGCTTGTGGATATATGTCGGATACGTTCCAGTTATTTGATTTCCTTTTTACAGATTTTTTTTTTTTTTGGTCTTTTTGAGACAGGGTCTCCCTGTAGCCCCAGCTGTCCTGGAACTCACTATGTAGACCAGGCTGGCCTTGAACTCACAGAGATCCACCTGTCTCTGCCTCCTGAGCGCTGGGATTAAAGGCATGTGCTGCCATGCCCAGCCTTACAGATTCTTTTTTAAGGAGCTGTGCTGTAGATGAATATTTCCTGACTGCAAAAGGAAGCCTCTCAGTCTCTTGTGCCATTGTTCGGTGTTTTAGTGAACCCTAGGAGACATTTCCTGAATAAGTTCTGCTAGGTTGAGACAAATCCCTTATCTACCTAGAACCATTTGCTTATTTGCAGGAGTTGAGGGGAGGGGACTTTGTTTTTGTTTGTAAATAGTCTTACTCTGTAGCCCAGGCTAACCTTGAACTCACTGTGGAGCCCAGGCTGCCCTCAAACTCAGGATCTTCCTGCTTTAGCCTCCTGAGGACTGGGATTATAGGCACAAGCCACTCTGCTTCATTTATTTCTTCTTTGAAAATTTTTATGTGTACAAGTGTCTTGCCTGCATGTATGTTAGTGCACCTATGTTGTACAATACTCACAGAGGCCAGAAGAGGGTGTTGTATCCCCTGGAACTGGAGCTACGAACAATTGTTAGATGCCATGTGGGTGCTGGGACTCGAACCCGAGTCCTCTACAAGAGCTGCTAGCACTCTTACCCGCTGAGCCATCTCTCTAGCCCCACATTGGCTTTTTCTTAATGTTGGCCACATCATTATCTATTCTGAAGCAGGGGAAGGTGGAAAAGAAGCATAAATGTATTTTGCCCTAAAGTGGCCAGGCTTCTTGACACTGCACTGGACATCAGATGAGGCTGAGTCTTGGCTCTAGTCCTGTCCTCTGTAGCTTTACTCTGAATTTCATGCATTCCTTCTTTTGTCACCATGTAAAATACTAGTTTGGACCTTGGCGTGGAGCTCAGCGTGGAGCTCTGGCATACCATATCTACAGATCTAAATTCCCTCCCTAGTGGTACAAAGTGGGGGTTGGGGAGACGCTCTTGTTAAAATACTGGTTTATCTGGAGTGCTTGCCCTCACTGCTTGGAGTCCCCCGTGGAGCCTGACTGAGATGACGACAGCTCCATTAGCTGGCTTCATGCAGCTGTGGGTCTTAATTGTTTTCTTGTTTCTGTCACGTACTTTTGAGTTCATCTCCCTAGCCATTTAGAAACTTTGATTTTCTGTCTGTTGAGTTAGTTATTTTCCCAGTTTTTCCCTGTTGCTTTGGTTGGAACTCTCTGTCTCTTGGAGGTTATTTTTCTCAGTGGAGCCATCTTGGGGGGACCTCAGGCTTTCCTGCCCCGTGATGTTTGGAGAGAACCCACACGCATGGCTGCTCAGTAGGCCTCTCAGAGCTCAGCTCATGCTTAGTTATTCCTTGTTGGCTCCCTACCTGACACACCTGGGCCTGGGCCACACTCCCTATCTATAGTACCCTCTGTCTACTTTCACCTCCTTCATCTGTCCCTCAGAATTCCTTTCTGAGTGAGAATGCTTACCCAGCCTAGGTGCATGGCTTCATGCAGGTGATCCACAAGGGCCCTCCCTGAAGTGGGGATTCGGGCACTAATTGTGCTCACAGTGTTGGTGGGCACTTAACTAATGAAACTTGGAATGCTGTCACTACTCTTCCCCTGTGATGAGTGCCTACCCATCCCAGCCCTGTGCACTGTGTGGTGGGTTTCTTCTCAGTCCCAGAAGGTAGAGATGACCCCGTTTTGCAGTTGAGGAAAGTGAGGCTTAGATACATTCAGGTGATACAGCAACACCTGGTGGGCTCAAACTTTGGCACAGTGGGTTCTTCCCCCAGCTGGAGTGGAAACAATGTTTGTTTCGGGAGGGGAGTCCTTTGAGACAGGGTCTCCCTGTAGCCAAAGCTGTCCTAAAACTCACTATGTAGATCAGGCTGACCTCGGTCTCACAGAGATCCACCTGCCTCTGCCGCCCAAGTGCTGAAATTAAAGGTGTGGGACACCATGAACAAGATGTATTTTAGAAACCCATCCCTTTTAGTGCCCAGAATGAAGTTTTTCTGTAGGTGATTCTAGTGTTGTACAGTGAGTAGAATTTTTATCCCCACAGGAGCGCTTCTCTGGAAGATCGAACAGAAGTCGAATCGTGCTTTTGCTTGTGGCAAAGTTACCATCAAGGGGAAGCGGCACTGGTACGAGGCTTTGCCCCAGGCTGTGTTTGTGGCCCTGAGCGATGACACAGCTTGGATCATCAGGACCAATGGAGACCTATACCTGCAGACAGGTAGTTGAAGGCCACACCCAGTGTCCTTGCCTCTTGCTGTGCCTGCTACATTCTTAGAGCAGTCACAGGATGCAGAGGCTGAAAACCAGCTTAAGTGAGAACATGTGTAGAGCACAGTGTTTGCCATGGAATATATTAGCAGTTCCTGTTCCTGTCACAGATTTGGACAATTAATAGGTGTTTTCGTGAGGTGTAGAAATCGAATCTTACTCTCCTTAGAGCTGCCTATTGCATGTCCTGCAGTCCCGTCACAGAGGACTTTACAGTTGTTTCCCCTTGAAGCTAAGTGGCTGGGTTTTCTCCCATCCAGGTCAAAGCCCAACTCCTATACACTTATTCCCAGCTCCTATACACTTATTTGCATGTGGATTCAGGGAAAACAAGAACTAATTTGCTGTAAATAGCAGTTCCACTCTTCCTAGGAAACTGCCCTTAGGGAAGCCTCTAGCTGCACAAACTGGCACATGGGACTTGTTTATTAAAAATAAACTGTAATAAGCCAATGTTTGTGTACTGTCACCACAGGGGGGATTGGCTTTCTGACAGCAGTGTGATCAGAGCCTGGGAAGGATTGGGGGCATGGATTCTAGATGGGCTGTCAAAGGGCCATATTGGATTTACATGAAGATCCATCTTGAACAATGCTCATTCTGAGAGCATGATTTAATCTTTGGGATGAGACATCAACCAGGGATCATTCTTGGTGCACTGAAAGCTCATGTTTATCTAACTCTCTCCCAGACATGGAGGAGCCTCACACTCTGTTGGGCATACCTGCCAGCTTTCAGGGTCATGTGCTGGTCCTTCTAGTTCCTGTGTCTTCCTTTAAGTGGAAATCAGTCAATCTGACAAGCACATGCACATCTCCTCTAGAAGACACTTGAATTCTGATTATAGTAGGGAAAAGGGTACTTTAGATCCAGGGGTAAGAAACAGATGACTTCCTAACCCTGGTGTCGCAGCAGTCAGCAGGGCAGTTCTCAGGTGACGCTGACCCTAGCCAGATGTGCTGAAAAGAGGCTGGGGTTGACAAGGATTTGAAGTAAGAAGTCCTGTGGGTGAGTCCCACCTAGTTGCATTTACCATGGGTACCTTTGTAATTATACTAGTAAGACCTACTTGTATGTCAGAGCTGTAGAACATGGAATTTAGATGACAGCTGTCCTGCCAGCACCCTTAGTAGTTGCCTTTCACCTCATTTAGATACATGACACACTACTGACAGGCCTCAAGGAGGTGAGGGAAAGAGGCCTGGAGCTCTGGCCCTGCCATGGTCTTGCAGTACGACAAACCTCAGATTTTTCCAGGTAAATGAGGGTTTGCACTTTAGCAGTGAAACCCCATACTGATGAAAGCAGAGAGGAGGGGAGCAGATCTGTCTGACCTGCTCTACAGAGGCCCAGAGGCTCCTACAGCAGCTGAGGCCCCTCTCCTCTGCCCAAGGTCCCTGAGGAGCACAGCTTTGTTGACAGAAGGGTAGACTGCTGTGCTTTTGGCCTGCGCGGACTGCTTTCCTGCCCTTGGCTTTCCTATCTTCTTTAGAACTCTGTTTTTTCATTATTATTATTTTTAGATTATGTTTATATATGTGCGTTTGTGTGTGGGTATGTGCATCAATTGCGCACAGGTGCTTATAGAGGCCAGAAGAGGATGTCAGATAGCGTGGAGCTGGAATTACAGGTGGTTGTGAGTCACCTAATGTGACTGCTAAGAACCAAACTTAGGTCCTCTAACTGCTGAGCCATTTCTCCAGCTCCCCTTTCAGAACTTTTTTATTATTTTTTTTTTATTATGTGTACGCATGTATTGCCTGCATGTAGGTAAGTGCACCCATGTCGTGCAGTGCCCTCGGAGGTCAGAAGAGGCTGTCAGATCCCCTGGGACTGGAGTTACGGACAGTTGTTTGCTGCCATGTGGGTGCTGGGATTTGAACCCAGGTCTTCTGCAAGAATAGTCAGTGTTCTTAACCACTGAGCCATCTCTCCAGCCCCTCAGAACTTCTTTTTTTTGGGGGGCAGGGTTTGAGACAGGGTCTCCCTGTAGCCCCAAGCTGGTCTGGAACTCGCTTTGTAGACCAGGCTGGTCTCGAACTCACAGAGATCCGCCTGCCTCTGCCTCCCAAGTGCTGGGATCAAAGGCGTGTACCACCATGCCCGGCCTAGAACTTCTTTTTTAAAATATTTTATATGGCTGTGAATTCAAAGCTGCCTGGTCTACATTGTGAGTTCCAGGACAGCTGGAGCTACACAGAGACCCTGTCTCAAAAAGACCGAAAAAATAAATAAATAAATTATAAATCTAAATATATATAGTTTGTTTTTTGAGACAGGGTCTCCCTGTAGCTCCAGCTGTCCTGTAACTTACTATGTAGGCCAGGCTGGCTTTGAACTCACAGAGATCCACTTGCCTCTCCCTCCCGAGTGCTGGGATTAAAGGCGTGTGCCACCACACCTGGCTATTATTTTTATTTTATGTGTATCAGCTATTGCCTGCATGTATGTAAGTGCACACGTGTCATACAGCGCCTGCAGAGGTCAGAAGAGGGTGTCAGATCCCATGGAACTGGAGTTCTGGATGGTTGTTAGCTGCCTTGTAGGTGCTGGGAATCAAACCTGAGTCCTCTGCAAGAGCAGCCAGTGCTCTTAACCACTGAGCCATCTTTCCGGCCTTACTTATAGAGCTTCTTAAGCTACTTTGGGACACCAGAAAATTCTCAGTTGTATTCACTTAATTTCAAAATGATGTCTTAAACCACTTTTAGACTGATACCTCATTGAAACGTAATTTACTATTTTAAAAGTTGCTATTGTTGTTGACAAAACTTCTTTTTAAAAAAAGGCAGAGACTATGAGCCATAGATGGTAAAATCCACCAACAACAAAGAAGTCAGAATGGGCTGGGAAGCTGCTGCTGCAGCTGTGGGCTCCTTCCTCCCACTGCAGGTCTCAGTGTGGACCGGCCCTGCGCCCGAGCTGTGAAGGTCGACTGTCCCTACCCACTATCCCAGATCACAACCCGAGACAATGTGGTGTGGGCATTGACGGAGCAGAGGGCCCTCCTGTACCGGGAGGGTGTGAGCAGCTTCTGCCCAGAAGGAGAGCAGTGGAAGTGTGATATCGTGAGGTATGGGCCCCAGCACTGCCACCATTGTCCCTGACCAGCTCCCATGTGGTCATGCTCTGGCAAAGCCAGCACCTTCAGGTCCCATGTGACAGAATTCTTTCAAGTTGTTGAAGTCAGACTGGCAGACTGAATGTCAGCCAAAAGCTCACTTCACAGTATGTGTTGGAGGTTGGGTGTGTAGCTCATTTGGTAGAATATCCACCTAGCGTAAGGCCCTGAGTTCCATCCTCAGTATGGCATAAACTGGGCTGGGTAGCACATGCCTATAATCTTAACACTTAGGAGATGCAGGTAGAAAAATCAGAAGTTCAAGGTCATCCTTATCCTGGGGTACAGGAGACCCTGTCTCCAAAACACAAAAACGAAAAATAAGTGCTGCCCTGAGGCCCTGAGCATCAAAGGTACCAGCTCGGTGGTCTTGTTTCAGAGCGTCTTGCTATCACATGGTTTCTGTTCAGAGTCTAGAACAGTATACCTCCAAATACTTTATTTTTATCCTAGGCTGTTGAAATTGGTCTTCAAATGGTAATGTATTTTGTTTTTTACCATTCAAGAGTTATTCTTTGGGACTGGAGAAAGGACCCAGTACTTAAGAGCACTTGCTGCTCTTGCAGAGGACCTGGGTTCAGTTCCCAGCACCCACCCTCATGGTGGCTCACAACTACCTGTAACTCTAGTTCCAGGGGATCTGATGTCCTCTTTTGGACTCTGCAGGCTTTGCACATACGTGCTCCTCTTACATACATGTAGGCAAAACACTCATACACATAAAATGCAAATAAGTTTTTAAAAGTTAAGTTACTCTTTAAATAAATCAAATGATGATGATGTTGGTTTGGATTCAACCAACCACTAAACCTTCAGAAAGCCCCTATTGGGAACCAGGACTATCTGGGGCTTGGGTTTATCAAGATAGCCAAGAGTCAGCTCTGCTATTGTCAGTTTCCAATTCAGTGATGCGCCGTGGAACACAGGCAGATGCCAGTTGCTGTTGAGGGTCCCAAGCAAAATGGGTGAGGAGCTGTTGGCTGCCTGCAGTGATTGTGAGGTAGCATGCCCAGGGAAGCCTCAGCTTAGCCTCGAAGCTGCCAAGAATGTCCTCAGATGGAGGAGGGGAAAGCAGACCCATCAGAGCAGACAGTGTCTGCCCAGAGACAGCTGAACACCATAGCCTGGCACATGGAGTAGGAGGGGACAAGTAGAGATGCCTGCTTGCTTGTGACTTGTGACTGGTGGTTTTTCTCCTGTAAGCTTTCCTCCTCACTCTGGGCCTTCATTGTGTCTTTTAGAAGCAGCCACATGTCAGGATAGCTTGCATTGCCCAGCAGTGTAGCCCAGACTCACCTCCTTGCTCGGCACTCAGTGGTGACCGCCTATGAGTAGAAGTCCATCTCTTCACCACACCAAGCCCACCCAAAGACCTCAGTGAGGTGGCCATTGCATGCCATGTGCTCTGCCTGGGGACTGACGCTGTGTTCTCACTTATTTTCAGTGAAAAGCAAGCTCTGGAACCTGTCTGTATAACTCTTGGAGATCAGCATACTCTCTGGGCCCTGGACATCCATGGAAAGCTGTGGTTCAGAACTGGTGTGGTTCCTAAGAAGCCCCAGGGAGATGATGATCATTGGTGGCAGGTAGGTACTGGGCTTGTCTGACCACTCCCCCTTTCTGCCTCTTTTCTTTTTTTCTTTTTTTGGTCTTTTTGAGACAGGGTCTCCCTGTAGCCCCAGCTGGTCTGGAACTCAAAGAGATCCACCTGCCTCTGCCTTCCAAGTGCTGGGATTAAAGGTGTACACCACCACACCCGACTCTGCCTCTTCTCTTGAAGAAGTGGGTTTAAACTAGTACTATCTACTTTTACTGTTTGTGAGGTAGACTTTCCTGTGATTGAGTACATTAAAAATAAAAGAACTCTTCCTCATAGGAAATAACTTGTAAAGTGTTTTTTGCTTTAATGCAGGCTGGAATTTATTTATTTATTTAAATGCTATTTAGACATTCATCATTATAGCCTAAATAAACCCAGTAACATTCATTTGAAGACCTGGGCAATAATGATACTTAATTCTGAGCAAATGTGCTAAGAAAAGAGACTAAACAATAGGTTTGAAAACCCAACCCACAATTAAAATTCATTCTATCTCTGCTTGCTTGAAAGGCCTGTAAGTAAATGGTATTTCAACAAAGAAAGGAAGATTTTCCCACATACTCCCAGAAAAGGAGAGCACTGTGAAAAGCAGGGTGTGGAAGCAAGCCAACTTGCCACGTGGCATGGCCCCAGCCAGAGAGGCCACAGATGGATTTTGCAAGAAGCATCCATTTTCCCCTTTCAGTACTGTTCAGGATTAAGCTCCTTACCTTCCCACTGTGGGCACAAGGCTGGTTGGAGAGGTAAGGTGCGGTGCCTGACCTTTTATGTCCCCATCAGTTCAGGCTTACAGCCATCCCAGGCCTGCCTGTGGAGGCCTGTCTTGTGCTGGCTGTTCTGTGGTCTTTCCCATGAAAATGACATGTATATTATAATATACCTCTAATTTGATAGTGTAGATAATATTTGAGAAGGTTATATAAGAACTTATAATCATATATGCATATGCACGTACATAATATGCATATGTAGATAGCCATATGTATTAAATCATGGTAGGGTTTTTTTTGCATATATATGTATATGGTATGTATTCATGTATATGTATATGTATGAGTATACATGTATGTGTATATGCATGAGTATATGTCTGTACAAGTGTGCATGCATTTAGAGGCCAGAGGTTGACACTGGAGGTGTTCCTCAATTTCTTTCCACTTTATTTACTTAGACAAGGTCTCAAACCTTTATGTGGATGCTGGGGATCCAAATTCCAATCCTCACATTTGTATGGCCAGCACTTGATCTACTGAGCCATCCCCACAGCCGCTGGGGTGTGTTTGTGTGTTTGTGTGTGTGTGTGTGTGTGTGTGTTTGAGATACTAGGGATTGAACCTGGACTTCATGATTACAAGGCAACTTGCTGTATCCACATTCCTTAAATTGTTTTTAAGCAGCATAAAGAAAACCCTGTATCATTTTTTCCTAATGTTCAGAACTTTACCTATTTAGAGATTTAATTTTCCAGAATGATCTTGAAGATTGGAAGCAGGGTGAAGCATTCTGAGTGATTTTCTTGTGACTCTAGAGACAGCATGTTTTGCCATTAGGCCTTGTATTGCTCCTTTGGTTGGAGACCTGTTTACATGTACATCTTCGGTGTTGGGAACAAGTCAAACAGCCATGGTGTGTGGGCTAGATAGAGTCACTGCTGCCCTTGTCAGCAGCACAGGCCCTGGGGAGGTGCAGAGCTTCCTTAGTAACATAACGCCCTGCACTTAAGTCTCTTGAGTAGGGCTCATTCCGTAGCCCCCGAAGCCATCCACCCAGGTCACAACTCAGAGTGCTGAATGTGCCACTGACACTGCAGTGCGAACTGTTTAGGACAGTGTTCACAGCCAGCCTGGGTCCTTCTACAGAAAAAAGGGCAGAATTTAAGTGTGATAAAGTACTAACATACAGTACTTTCTTGTTTGCTTTGTTATCTACTCCTTGTAACAAGTGATGTCACTTTCACTCAGTATTTCATTGTGGGACCCGAGAGTATGACCTGCCCTAAGAATGGGATGTTTGTACCAATGTCTGTAATGAATCCAACATGCAAAATGAAAATAAAAATAAAAATTCTAATGTGAGTCCTACTGAGTCAGGCTTTCATCTGTCTCATAAAGAACTCTGTGCTGGGGCTGGAGAGATGGCTCAGCAGTTACAGCACTTGCTGCTCTTGCAGAGGACTTAGGTTCAGTTCCCAGCACCCACATGATAGCTCACAACCATTTATAACTCCAGTTCCAGGGGCTCTGACACCCTCCTCTGGCTTCTGCAGGCATCAGGTATGCACATGGTACACATACATACATGCAGGCAAAACACTCATACATAAAATATTATCATAAATATTTTATTTATTTTATTTATTTATTTTTTGGTCTTTTTGAGACAGGGTCTCCCTGTAGCCCCAGCTGGCTTGGAACTCACTATGTAGACCAGACTGGCCTTGAACTCACAGAGATCCGCCTGCCTCTGCCTCCCAGTACTGGGACTAAAGGCATGCGCCACCACACCTGGCTATTTTTTCTTTTTTAATCTGTATGAGTGTATTGCCTGCATGTATATGAGTGCAACCATGTCATGCAATGCCTGAGGAGGACAGAAGAGGCTGTCAGATCCCCTGGAACTGGAGTTATGGACAGTTGTTAGCTGCCATGGGGGTGCTGGGATTCAAACCCAGGTCTTCTCCAGGAACAATCAGTGTTCTTAACTGACGAGCCATCTCTCCAGCCTCTAAATACATCTTTAAAAAAAGAACTCAGGCCGGGCATGGTGGCGCATGCCTTTAATCCCAGCACTCAGGAGGCAGAGGCAGGTGGATCTCTGTGAGTTCAAGGCCAGCCTGGTCTACACAGTGAGTTCCAAGACACCTGGAACTACAGGGAGACCCTGTCTCAAAAAGACCAAAAAAAAAAAAAAAAAAAAAAGAATTCTCATAACTGGCTGCCCAGCAAGGGAGAAGTTTCCTTCACAGAAGTGATTGTCCCAGAGTGTCTCTAGAAGTGCCTCTACAGATGCTTATCAGGAATGTTACACAGGCACGTCACCCCTCAGAGCCAGGTGGCTTCTAGATGCTTGGACCCCTCCTCAACTAAGCCAATGGCTTGATACAATTGGTAATAATCTTGCTTACAACTTAAATAATCACATCACCTGCTGATAGACTTTTTAAAGCTCATATTATGATTCTGAGTTTTGCACAATTTTGTCCATTGGGAGCACCTGATTTAAAAGTGAAATTGCTGGGCGTGGTGGCACACGGCTTTAATCCCAGCACTCAGGAGGCAGAGGCAGGCAGATCTCTGTGAGTTCAAGGCCAGCCTGGTCTACATAGTGAGTTCCAGGACAGCTGGGGCTATAGGGAGACCGTCTCAAAAAAGACAAAAAAAAAAAAAAAAAAAAAAAAAAAAAAAAAAGAAATTATTCTTTATCACTCTGACTAGAATAAAAGGCTTCTTATGTGAGGTGTGAGGGGTGCTATTTAATACATACTTAAGACAGCTCCATGTAATGTAAAAGTCTATTAGAGTGAGAGCACTTTCTTCCACACCCATCCTTAAGTGCTGCCCTAGTTACCTGCTTATTAACTCCATCCTTGTATAGAGGTGGTCTTGTTCAAAGCTGGCTCCTTGGATGTGGGTGTGCAGAAGCTGTCCTGGAGGTGGGTGGGCTTCAGGGACTGCACTGACAACAGGGCTCTCCTCCCTGCAGGTGAGCATCACGGACTATGTGGTGTTTGACCAGTGCAGCTTGTTCCAGACCATCATCCACGCCACACACTCAGTAGCAACAGCAGCCCAAGCACCTGTGGAAAAGGTAGCAGATAAGCTGCGCATGGCATTTTGGTCTCAGCAGCTTCAGTGCCAGCCCAGCCTGCTTGGGGTCAACAACAGTGGAGTCTGGATCTCCTCAGGCAAGAATGAATTCCATGTTGCTAAAGGAAGCCTCATAGGTAGGCAGACTGCTCTTGTTTTCACATTATTTTTACTTTATTTTTCTACATATTTTTAAATTTTCTTTGTTACTATTACTAACATTTAAAGAACGGTTTCTAGGTCTAATTTAATGTAAGAGAGAGCAGTAGGAAGAACTGTCTGATGGAGGCACTCTGGGCATCGTGCTCTATATCTTCCCCACTTCTCAAACTTGGTGTCTGGATAGTGTATCATCAGTTTCCTATAGAGACCTATTATGCCTGGTATGGTGGTGCACACCTTTGATCCCAGCACTCGGGTGACTGGGAGGCAGAGGCAGGTGGATCTCTGTGAGTTCAAGGTCAGCCTGGTCTACATAGTGCATTCCAGGCCAGCCCACCCCATTACAGGGAGACCCTGTCTCACAAAAAGACCAATAAAGAAAGAAAAACCCATTATGCTACAATAGAAGCTAATGGAGCTCATTTTTGTTGTTTTCGTTGGTTTGAGTCAAAGTCTTCCTATAGCCCAGGCCTCCAGGCTGGCCTTGAACTCCCTGTCTTGCCTCCCAAGTGCTAGGATTGCAAGCATGGTGGCACACGCCTGTAATCCCAGCACTCAGGAGGTAGGGGCAGGTGGATCTTTGTGAGACGGAGCCCAACCCAGTCTCAAGACAGACAGACAAACAACAAAACCAGATACAGCAGCTGCAATCCCAGGACTTCTCTGGACACATTGGCAGACAAAACTCTGCAGGAGAAACAACAAGAAAGGGGAAAGAGAAAACTCCCAGAGATCTGACCTTCACAGGCAGGCCATGGCACACACACACCCAACCAGTCTTTCTCAATCTCTCTCTCTCTCTCTCTCTCTCTCTCTCTCACACACACACACACACACACACACACACATACACACAATCTTTTAAGGAGGGGGCAGTAGGGAGATAGCTCAACAGTTAAGAGTGCTTGCTGCACAGTTACTAAGACCAGAGATCACATTCCAGCAGCTGTAACAAGCTGGGTACCCCACACACATCCGCAACCCCAGCTCCAGTTGGGCAGAGGCAGGAGAGTCTTCAGGGTTTCCTGGCTCCCAGCCTACCCCAGAGAACATGAGCCCAAGCTCAGGGAGAGACCTCCAGCTCAAAAGTATAGATGGAGAACATTCTGTGCCCTCTTCTGGCCTTCTCCTACATGCTTAGGAACATGTTCCATACTCACACAAATAAGTAAGATTCTTAAAAATCTACCAAACCTGCAGAGCCAAGTGAGAGAGAACAGTTCATTTACAGTGGAGCAGTCATGACCACAGCTGGACATGCCAGATGCTGGCCAGGTTTGTGGAGGAGCTGGGGCTCATTTCTGAGTGAACCAGCTTGATGAGTTTCCTCTAGCTCTGTCCCCTATGTAGCCTCCCTGGGGCTTCAGTGGACAAGACATGGCTCTGCTTAATGCATGGCAAGCTGTCTGACTTGTGTCACTTCATTTGAGGATTGAGGGCCAGTCTAGAACCAAACTGAAGTGCTTTTGTTTTTTTTCTTTCCTCAACCCATTTTTGTATGTATTCTCTCCAGGCACTTACTGGAACAACGTTGTTCCCCGGGGGACAGCTTCTGCCACAAAATGGGCCTTTGTGTTGGCTTCTGCTGCTCCTACCCAGGAAGGTGAGTCAGTCTTAGCCTGACTGAGAAACATGGTGCAAAGGTTAGTTAGCAGCTGAAAAGTCAGACCATTATCTGACCATAGTAAATGTGGAGTTGTGGCTGCACAGACCTTAGGACAGGAAATATAGCAGCGTCATGGGCCGGTAGCCCTGTGAGCTGAGCCAAGGGCCTGCAGCTGGGTAGACCTGCTCAGGAGAGCCACTAAGGGGAACAAGGGTAGTGATGCCAAGTCAAGGCAGTGTCCTTGTGGTGAAGGCAACCATGAAGGGGTTCCAGGAGTTGGCAGCAGCTGACTTTCAGGGTCAAGTTGCATGACCAGCTTCTGTGGGTTCTTTTTCATTGCTTCTGAGAACTCTCGTGTCACCTCCAAGCAACTTTCCATCTGGCTTCAAGCTGCCGGCTCACCTTATACCCTGTGGAGGTTTCACACCCCAAGCTCTGCCTGCAGAGGTAGAGCTCCTGCTGACTTGTGCCTAGGAAGAACCCTCAGCCCCTCAGTAGAACCAGGAGAGCAGAGCCACCACCCAGTCAGCTGAGAACCCTGGGCAGGTAGGTGACCTGTCTGGGAAGAAGCCAGAGCCTCCAGGGGTGCTAAATGAGGAGATGTACGATCCCTATGACTAATAGGAAGCAGTTTGGTTCATTCAAGCTATCAGTTCCACCAGCTTTGGATAACTTTGGCCAGTACAGTAAATATTTGCCTTTGAGACTGTACTGACCACAGTCCTGCCAGAAATCCCAGAAGATGATAAGTTGTTTCCTGAGTTTGGCACAACTACCTTTAGTAGCAGCACCTGACCCAAGCTGGTAGGAAGCAGCCTACAGTCTTCACTGAGGGTCTGTTGTGGTGTGTACATGTGCCACAGGCCTGTCATTGCACTTCCCTGGGGAGCTCCCGGGTACCTCTGGCTGACTCTTCTATCAAAGTTTTCAAATTTTAAAATAAAATATTGAAGTCTTAAGGCATCTGGCCACAAATTTTAAATAATACTTTATGTTATACACTGTCCCCCAAGAATTTTAAGTCCCCCAAGGATTATTTTCATTCTAAACACTGTTAAGCCTGAAGGTTCTGCTAGAGTGCCGAGTGTGACTTTGAGGCCAGGATGGGAGAAGGATTTCCAGCCTTCCCTGCCGTCTCCAGCAGGCATTTACCAGAAGAGCCAAGGAAGCACCTGCCAAGGAGCTGCTGGCCTGACTCCTTTTAGGAGACAGATTGACAGCCCCCTGTTCTTGGTGGTTTAACATTTTGTATTTTAAAATGCTCCCTGACCTTTGTAGAGGTCAGAGCCACTCTGCCATCACCGTAGCCTTCGTAAAGAGCTCATGGGCCCTGCTTTCTTTTCAGGCTTGATCTTTTTAAGGCCTATTAAATACCTATGGTGGTATTTCCCTCTAACTTCAGGGGCTCAGCAGCACCTGTCCCCTCCCTATATGGGTAAGGGTAAGTAACCACGCAGAGTCTGCAAGCAGTTCAGGGCTCTGCCTGAAGGAAATGATGTTTTGTGGACTTAAGGTGCGTGGCTCAGTGAGTGTTCGGTAACAGATGTGAACCTTTTCTGCAGGAAGCTCCTTATGGCTGTGCCAGAGCAGCAAGGACCTATGCAGCATCAGTGCCCAGAGTGTGCAGTGCCGCCCCTCTACAGTGCAGCTCCCCCCCGACGCCGAGATGAGGGCATACGCTGCGTGTCAGGATGCGCTGTGGGCCTTGGACAGCCTCGGCCAGGTGTTCATTAGGACACTCTCCAAAAGCTGTCCCACAGGCATGCACTGGACAAAGCTGGACCTTTCCCAACTAGGTATGGCGACTTATGAGTGCTCCAGCCAGGGCTTGACCCCTACAGCCACATCAGGATATAGCTGACTCAAGTGTCCTCTCCCACACTCAGCTTGGGGGAATTCTTAGGTGATACATGTCAGTTGTTAGATTTTAAAATATTTTATTTATTACTTTTTTTATGTGTATGAGTGTATTGCCTACATGTATGTGAGTGTACCAGTGTCGTGCAATGCTGTGGAGGTCAGAAGAGGGCTTCGGATTCCCCTGGAACTGGAGTTAGGACGGTTCGTAGCAGCCATGTGAGTGCTGGGAATTGAACCCGGGTTCTCTGCAAGAGCAGTCAAGCTGTTGAATTTTAGAGTGCAGCTGGCTCCTTTTCCAGACTGAATGGGCCTCTTAATTTTGTAAGGAACTTTACCTCCCTCACTTCTTATAGTTTGCAGTGTTCAGAACCCAAGAGGTTATGAGGTATTCAGAAGTTGCCACTAAGATCTTAAAATTGTAGCATTGCCCCATTGATGAGGACTTTTTTTTTTTTTTTTTGGTCTTTTTGAGACAGGGTCTCCCTATAGTCCCAGCTATCCTGGAATTCACTATGTAGACCAGGCTGGTCTTGAACTCACAGAGGTCTGCCTGCCTCTGTCTCCCAAGTGCCGGGACTACAGGCATGTGCCACCATGCCTGGCTAGGACTTTTTTTTTAAGGTGAGAAAAATTTGTATTTAGAATTAGACTACTGGACTGCTTAGATGATCCCAATTTTGTTGGCAACATTCAAAGAATTGTAATCAGGAGCCAGACGAACATAGACCTTCTTCTGTCCATCGGGTCTGATCAAGGTATTGACCTCAGCCACATCAGTGTCATAGAGTTTCTTCACAGCCTGTTAGATCTGGTGCTTGTTGGCCTTGACATCCACAATGAGCACAGTGTGTTGTTGTCTTCTATCTTCTTCATGGCTGACTCAGTGGTCAGGGAACTTGATGAGGGCTTGGTGGTCAAGCTTGTTTCTTCTGGGGGTGCTCTTGCAAGGGTATTTGGGCTACCTCCGGAGCCGCAAGGGCTTGGGTCACCAGAAGGTAGGTGACGTGCAGATCTTCTTTCTGTGGCTGTGGATGCCTTTCAGCACTTTCTTCGTGGCCTTCAACACCTTTGCTTTGGCTTCAGCTTTGGGAGCGGCAGGAGCATCCTTCACTTTCAGCACCACCTTGGCGAAAGCTGTGATGAGGATTTTTTCACAGACCTGAAAAGGCTCTGTGAGGATGAGTAACTCAGGAGGCAGAGGCAGGTGGATCTCTGTGAGATCGAGGCTAGCCTGGTCTCCATAACAAGTTTCAAGCCAGCTGAGGCTACAGGGAGACCTGTCTTGAGAAACAAACCAACAAAAAAACCAAAGAAAATGTCAGCACTGGTGCAGCTGCCCTGCTGTGACCTTTGAATCGGAAAGGGAAGGTGCTCCCTGGATTGGGGCCATGCTCACTCATCTGCCTTGGCATCTCAAAGAACACCACTGGTCTGCCTTGCAGGTGTATAATGTGGGCTCTCCTTCAGACAAGCTGAAGAGGCACTGTGCTGCTAGCAGCCTCTCTTCTCTGAACCATTGCAGAGTTAGAACAGGCTCAGCCTTTGGTGCCATGTGGAAGTATCTCATAGTCCCAGAGTTACACTTTTCTTGAACGACCCAGCAACTCAAGTGTTGTTTGTCTGAAAGCAGAGGCTATCCTAGGCAGGATCAGAGTGAACTTTTTTTTTTAATATTTTATTTATTATTTTTATTTTATGTGTACACGTGTATTGCCTGCGTGTAGGTCAGTGCACCCGTGTTGTGCAGTGTCCGCAGAGAACAGAAGAGGCTGACAGATCCCCTGGGACTGGAGTTACGGACAGTTGTTAGCTGCCATGTGGGTGCTGGGATTCAAACCCGGGTCTTCTGCAAGAACATTCAGTGTTCTTAACTGCTGAGCCATCTCCCAAGCCCCCAAAGTGAACTTTTAAACTCCAAGGAATACTATCTGGGAAACACTTCCTTTGTTATGCACTGGCAACCAGTATTTCATGGACTTGAATGAGTGTTTAATGTAGAAGAACTCAACCACATGTATGAAGTGGGGGTTGGGGGGTTAGAAGAGGAGGAGGAGTACTTGTTGCATTGATATGTATACACCACCATCCCCATAAAGTAAGTTTTACCCCAGCAGGCCTGGGCCAGGCCAGTGGTTATTGGCAGTGGGGTTTTTGCAAGCTGCTAGGAAGAGATAAGGCCCTGAACATAACCCAGTCTGCTGTGGAATGAGCTGTGTGCCTCAGTTAGGGACTTCCAAAGGAACTGTGATTACTTATGCCTTGGGCTTCACACCCTGTCTTTCATACCTACTAGTCACCCAGCTTTCCAGGGCAGTTGCCAGCCCAGTTATTGGCAGTGACTGAGCAGACAAGGCTAAGCTAGCTGTGGCCTGGACACTAGTGCCAGTTGAGCCCTGCTTCCTGGCCTGGGAGACCTTTCCTCTGGCCCTGAGCCTTTCTCTAGTAGTCCCCACCAGACCATGATGGGAGGCCGCTAGTGCCCTGAGAAAGGCCAGGACTGGTGTGTGTTCTCCCCACTCCTCAACCTCAAAGACAAGGGGAAGTCCATGCTCATTCTGCCTGGGAGTGAGCTGTTTCCCCAGCATCAGCCTCTCCATATAGTCATCCCACCAATAGGACCCCCTACCCAATGGACCCAGCAAGCCTCCTGTCTAAATGTGAGCTATCTCAGGAACATATCCCTCTTGGACCCTCAGGCTGCTAGGATGTGCACCAGACCACTTCGCTTGCACCATCAACATTATATTTTGAAGCACTGCCTTTTTTTTCTTTTTTCTTTTTCTTTTTATGTGTATGAGTGTTTTACCTGCATGTATGTAAATGCACTCATGTTGTGCAGTGCCCATGGAGGTCAGAAGAGGACATCAGATCCTCCAGAACTGGAGTTACAGATGGTTGTTAGTAGCCATGTGGGTGCTAGGGACTGAACCCAAGTCCTCTGGAAGTGCAACCCAATAAATAATAAGAGCCTGATATACACTGTTTTTAGGGGATGGAGAGATGGCTTAGTGGTTAAGAACACTGGTTGTTCTTGCAGAAGACCCAGGTTTGAGTCCCAGGACCCACATGGCAGCTAACAACTGTCTGTAACTCCAGTCCCAGGGGATCTGACAGCCTCTTCTGACCTCCACGGTCATTACATGACATGGGTGCACTTACCTACATGCAGGCAATACACACATACACATAAAATTAAAATAATAAATAACATTTTTTTTTTGGTCTTTTTGAGACAGGGTCTCCCTGTAGCCCCAGCTGCCCTGGAACTCACTATGTAGACCAGGCTGGCCTTGAACTCACAGAGATCCACCAGCCTCTGCCTCCCAAGTGCTGGGATTAAAGGCATGCACCACCATGCCCGGCAATTTTTTTTTAATTAAAAAAAAATACTGTTTTTAAAATGATTGTAGGGGGACTGGAGAGAGGGCTCAGCTGTTAAGAGCACTGGCTGCTCTTGCAGAGGACTGGGTTCAGTTCCCATCACCCTTGTGGTGGCTAACAACTGTCTGATAATTCCAGTTCCAGGGGATCCAGTGTCCTCTTCTGACCACAGGCATTGCATGGCACAGGTGCTCTTACTACATGCAGGCAATACATTCATACATATAAAATAAAAATAATAAATATTTTTTAAAATGATTGCAGGGCTGGGTTTAGTGGCACATACCTTTCATCCCAGCGCTCTGGAGGCAGAGGCAGGCGGATCTCTATGAGATTAAGACCAACCTGGTCTGGTTACATAGCAAGTTCCAGGCAAGCTGGGGCTACAGGGTCTCAAAAAACCAAACAAACAAACAAAAAAGATTATAGATTGTGAGCCCAGACCTGGACTTTCTTCTAGAACTATCTCCTTTCCACCATTACAAATACAGATCACCAAGTTTATTGCTGCTTTGTGATTAAATTAAAGCCAAACACAGTAGCCTTCACCTGTAGGTCAGGAGACTGAGGCTCAAGGATCACCAGTTCAAGATAAGCCTAGGCCACACAGACCGTGTCTCAAAACTGAACAAGACAGATTAAATTAAGAGGCTTACATTAAATGGCTGTCTGCTGAGCAGCCATTAAAGAAACAGAACATGGAGTTCTGCAGTGATTTATTACAGTCCTGGATTTTGGAAGAGTTGTGCATCATGTAGCAGATATTTAAGATCTTTATAACATTTCATTTCTCATTATTCCTAAATACATATCACGTCAGGCATTGGACTGTTTAGCAAACTAATGCAGTTTGTAGTTTAATTCATCTGGTCACAGCATGTAATGATGAAATATTATGTCAGTTTGTTCCTTTAGGTAACAAATGGGATTATGTCATGCAATAATTTATTTATGTAGGGAAATATTTTATAATTTGCAAAACAACAAACAAATGCTACTGTCTGTTCTAAGCTGCATATTTTAGAGACCCTACAGTGGATGTGGTGTTACATGCCTATAATTCTGGCACTCAGAACTGAGGTAGAAGGGTTGCAAGTTTGAGGATAGGCTGTGCTATACAGTGAGACAGTCCCCCATCTAAGAAAACAGTTTTAGGGACTGGAGAGATGGCTTAGTGGTTCAAGAACTATTTGTACAGAGGACCCAGGTTTGATTTTCAGCACCCACATGGCAGCTCACAACTGTCGATAACTCCAGTTTCAGGGAATCAGATCCCATGCCATCTTCTGACTTCTGTGTGCATTGCATGCCTGTGGTACACTTACATGCAGGCAGTACACGCATACGCATAAAATATAAATAAATCAAAAAATTTTAGTTTTTTTTAACTTTTTAAAAAGTTTTATTTATTTTTCATTTTATGTGTATTCATGTATTGACTGCATGTATGTAAGTGCACCCATATCGTGCAATGCCCGAGGGAGGACAGAAGAGGTTGTCGGATCCCCTGGAACTGGAGTTACAGACAGTTGTTAGCTGCCATGTGGGTGCTGGGATTCAAACCCCGGTCTTCTACAAGAACAACCAGTGTTCTTAACCGCTGAGTCATCTCTCTAGCCCCTTTTAAATAGTTTTTAAGAGAAAGTGTTGAGTTTGGTGAATCAGATAATTACTCTTCTCTTTGATGAAACATAAAATGGGGAGCATCAGTCTAAGTTCCCCTTTAGTCACAAGTCCCAGGCATCAGCAGCTATGCACAGTGAACAGCTCCCTCCTCCCCTAGGACACTTGGGTGGCATACACTGATCAGGTGCTTCTTATTCATATAGTGTGGAAGAGCCAAGAAGACCGTGCTGGCTCTGGTAGTATAGTCAGAAGGGGCAGATCTCTTTTGCCCACTAGAAACAGTCACAGCTGCTAACTCTGGAGAAATGTGAGAGAGCCAGAGAGACTTTGGGGAGTGAGGAGGCACTGCCACACCCCCTGTGGAACAGATGTAAAAGCTGCAGGAAAGTAAGTCCTCAGCTTACTTTGTTTTTGAATTGAGACTGTACAGTGAAGTGTGTTCTGGCAGGCTTTATTTGTTCTGAGAGTGGGCTCACCTTGATGTATGAACTCCCACCCTACTGGCAGTGTTTTCATTGGCTGCTCACTCTGAGAGGCCAGCCCAGTATGCACCCGTCCCCTGTGACTATGAGCATTTTTAGCTGCTGCCTCAAGTTCTAAACAGGCGGTTGGGAGACTCATGCAAGATTGTCTTGTAGTTAGAATCTGGTTCTCTGAGGCTGGAGAGATGGCTCAGCGGTTAAGAGCATTGACTTCTATTGGAAAGGACCCAGGTTTGATTCCCAACACCCACATGGCAACTACAAACCATACTTAACTCCAGTTCTAGGGGAATCCAAAGCCTTCTTCTGACCTCCGAGGCATTGCATAACATAGGTGCATTCACATACATGCAGGCAATACATTCATAAACATAAAAATAATAAAATATTTTTTAAAAAAAGAATCTGGTTCTCAGCTTTTCCTACTGTTACTGAAGAAGGCACTTTATTGTGACTTATTATGTGTAATGTCAGAATTCTGGGGAGTCTATCTTAACTTCTTGCTAAGTCATCAAGGAAGAAAAAAATACAGTTAATCTTAGAATCAAAGAAATCAGCAGGTTTAGAACAAGGGAATACTTACTATAAAAAAAAAAATTAGACATGAGATATCTAACTTATGCCCCAGCACCTCTATTTAGGCTTTTATCCTAGAAAGCAATGAATGTTTCTGCTCTTTCCCATTTTGAGACCAGGGTCTCACTGTGTAGCCCAGGATGGCTCCCAACATGATCCTGCTGCTTTAGCCTCTTAAGTGCTGGGACTATGGGTGTGCCGATTTACACACACATACACACAACCAAAACACCTTCTGCAAGAATGGTTATAATAGCTGGGTGTCGTGGCACACGCCTTTAATCCCAGCACTCGGGAGGCAGAGGCAGGCGGATCTCTGTGAGTTTAAGGCCAGCCTGGTCTACACAGTGAGTGCTAGGCTAGCTGGTATCGTCCTCTTTTTTTTTTTTTTTTTTTTTTTTTAAAAAAAAAAAAAAAAAAAAAAAAAAAAAGAATGGTTATAACAAAGCTTAGACATGACCCAAATGCCCATGTGAATACAGGAATGCAGAACTGATACTTGCCTACAGTGGAATAATTCTTGGCAACAGAGAGAGACTGGCGGTGGTTGCTGGTTCATATTGTAGCATGTGTACTTTAATTTTGCTCATGCGAGCCCCCAGGAAAGACTGAGCTAAGCTCTAGTGGTAGAAGTCAGTCCAGCAGTCATCTTTGGCTATATAGCAAGTTTGAGATCAGCCTTGGATGCATGAGACCTTCACCTCAGCCCTGAGGCCATTGGCAGGAAGAGACTTTGTGGGATGACAAAATATTCTTTTTTTTGATAGGGCATGGGTTGTCTTGTTAGATTAATTTGTCAAAACTGTGCTTGAACCCTTAACCTCTGTGCATTTGCTGTTTATAAAGCTCCAGAGGTCAGAGGTAGCTGACCTGAGTTCAAGCCTGCTTTTCCTCTTTACTTCTACTTGGTCCCCTTCTGGCCTATCTCTTGGCTAAGTCCTGCAGTCTCCTGTGTGAACTGGATAATGACTGTGTTGTTGTGAGGTTTGAAATCAGAGTGTGAAAGACTTTGTTTTGAGCCTGTCCTGCAGTGGCTCTATCGTGACCTGACTGCAGCACTTTTTACCAGCCCAACCATCACTGATGTAATTTCTTTTCTTTTTTTGAGAAGCTCTTGTCAAGCCCTCTACCACTAAGCCACACCCCAGCCCGGTTTCTTTTCATTTTGACCCCTCCACTTCCTTTCCTCTTACAGTTAGCAACTAGTTTAATTAACAAAGAGAAATACAAAATAAAATGAAAACTCTTCGGGAGATTTAATCTTAATTTTGGTAAATAGGAGCCCGTCTCGCTGCAGAGTCCACTAGCAGTATTCCCTTGTTGGATGAGGTGGACAAGGGGACTCACATGAAGATTTGTGTCTCAGTGTTTGGTAGCTCAGGTACTGTGCCTATGGTATCATGGCCACTTTGCAGCAGCCTACACCTGGCAGGCAAGCCAAGTCCCCGCACCTGACAGGGAGACAAGACCAGATCACACACAGCATAGAGCTGCAGATGCAGCCTCCTGTTGTCTTCTGAAGTGTAAAATCAAAGTTCACACACTAAATGAAAGGTTAGTCACTTCACAAAAGTAATTACAGTGTGTGTTTCCTGTTTCACTACAGGAGCCATCAAATTAACCAGCTTGGCTTGTGGAAATCAACATATCTGGGCCTGTGATTCCAGGGGTGGGGTTTACTTCCGTGTTGGAACCCAGCCTCTGAACCCTAGTCTGATGCTTCCAGCCTGGATCATGATTGATCCACCTGTCCAGGTAAGTGAAGCACTCTGGAAAGGAAAGTATACTTCTTAGGAAGGCAGAGGCCGCTCAGGCCTCCCAGGGTGTGCACAGAGAGACATGTCCAGTCAGTACTCCTCCATCACTGACACGACAGCTTGGAATTTGCTATCTATGGAGTTTAGAACTGAACACATTACAGCATTATCTGAGCCAGTGCAAGCTTTTTTCCTTTAAAAGGGGTTTTTAGTCTTTTCACCAAGTGCACATTATTTTTTTAAAAATCAAACATTACCCAGAAATACAAAGAAGAAAATTTGCGTAAAATGTTGCCATAGAGATATCTTTTATCAGTTTGTTGTTTTCTTTGGCAGTTCCAGGGGTTGAATCTAGGGTGTCACAAAAGCCAGGCAAGCACTCTTCATTGAGCCAATACAGACACAGCCCTTTATCAGTGTTTTGTGGGTGCCTTTCCTAGCTTTAAGAATTTTTGTTTCTTGGGCTAGTAGAGTACTTGCCTTGCATGTTGCGGGGATTCAATCCCAGCACCGCCTACCCCAAGATCTGTGTCCTCTTTGCCCTCCCCTACTCTGGTATTTCTGTTTACGGTGTGTTCTGAAAGGTTTTTGTTAGCTCTTCCTGAAAACCTAATAGGCTTTATTCTTGTCGTAACTGTATTTCTATTAAACCCTACGTTAGGGGATGTGACTTTTCAAGAGTTTGCTCAGACTTCTAATCTCTGCTTTATGACTTTGTTGGAAAAGACATGAAGTTGCTTTATGTAGAAGGAGTAGAGGGGCAGGAAGGGGACAGCCTCAGTGGAAGTGGGAAGGAATCAAGAGTCTGGGTAAGCCAGGCATGGTGGCACCCAGAGGCAGGAGGATCTCTGAGATCTGCGAGATTGAGGCCCTCCTGTCCATAGTGAGCGCCAGGCCAGCTGTGGCTCCACAGAGACCCTGCCTCAAACACCTGTGTTCCTGGTTGTCCACATTCTGGTGTCCTCTGCAGACACAAGATTAAACTGGATGAACTCCAGCATATGCTCTGCAGCTCCTCTGCACTGGGCAGCACGCCAGCAGCAGAGTGGTAGGAACAGTCCCCAGCAGAGGAGTGCTTATTTCTGAGCTCGTTCGGCACTGCCAGTAGAGGTAAGGAGAACTAGCCGACTTTCCGTTAGTCCCATTATTGCTCTTGAAATCTCTGTTGCCTGCACCCAGGTGGATTCCTTTGGCATCACCGCCAATACATTCCTTTTCTTCTTCTACTAATTACTTTATATTATTTAAGAGCTACAAGTGGGGACTGGAGAGATGGCTTAGCGGTTGAGAGCACCAGTTCCAGGGGATACAATGCCCTCTTCTGACCTCCATCAGCATTGCATGACATAAGTACACTTACATACATGCAGGCAAAACATTCATACACATAAAGTAAAATTAGTAAATTTTAAGATTTTATTTTAAGAGCTATAATTTAGCTATGCCTGGTAGTTAGTGTAAGCTTGTAACCACAACTACTTAGGTGGCTGAGGCAGGAGGATCTCAAATTCAAGGCCTTCCTGGGCTATAGAGTGAGATTAGGACCAATATGGCATCTTAAATGAGATTTAGTCTCAAAAAAAAAAAAAACACACAAAAAAAAACCCCACAAAAAACCAAGTATGGTGATCCCAGCATTAGAGGAGATAGAGGTAAAAGGATCAGTAGTTTCAAGGTCGTGAGTTCAAAGCCAGCCTGAGTTAAGTGGTGCCTTGTGCCAAGGAACCAAAAAGAAGAAAAACTTACAGTCCACATACCGTAATTTTCCCTTCTACCCTATACAGCTCAGTGGTTTTTAGTATATTCACTAAACAACGTTACCACTGTCCACATCTAGAACACTTTCATCCTCCAAGAGCAAACTTTCTGATAGTGGCTCTTATTATGTAGACTGACTGGCCTTGAATTCACAGAGACCCATCTGTGTCTCTGCCTCCCAAGTGCCTCCCAAAGGCCTGCACAACCATGCCCAGCCAGAAGCAAGTTCTTTACCAATTAACTGTCACCCTTTGCTCCTAGAAGCCTCAGGTCACTCAACCTATCAGCCACTGATCATTTTCTGTTTCCATATTTCCCTGTTTTGTAGATGGTATATGAAAGGAATCACACTAAATTATGTGTCCTTTTAAAAGACTTCTAATTTTTTTCTAAAGATTTATTTTTATATGTGTATATATGCATGTGTATGCCATCTGGGTATAGGGGACCATAGACCCAGAAGAGGGTGTCAGATCCCCTGAAGTTGGAGTTACAGACTTGTGAGCTGCCCTGTGGGTGCTAGAATCTGAACCCAGGTCCACTGCAAGAGCAACAAATGCTTTTAACCACCAAACCATCTCTCTAGTCCCTAGATTTTTATTTTTACTTTTAATTATATGTATATATGTGTCTGTGTATGGGTTTGTGTATGTGAATGTGATGCCCATGGAGGCCAGAAGAGGGCATCAGATTTCCTAGAGCTGAAGTTACAGAGGGTTGTGAGCCATCTGATGGGTGTGCTGGGTTCCAAACTTAGGTCCTCTGGAGAAGCAAGCAGCATGGGCTCTTAACCAGTGGGCTGTCTCTCCAGCCACACATGTAGCCTTTTTGTCAGACGTGTTCAGAATTCATCCATGTTTTAGCATTTATCTGTTCTTCATTTTTATGACTGAAAAACATTCCATCAAAGTAGATTCACAGTTCATTCATTCCTTGGTTGGGGCATCTGGGTTATTGCAGCTTTCTGGCTACTGTGAATAAGGCTACTACGAGCATTTGTGTGCAGGTCTCTGGAGACACATTGTCAGCTCCATGGACCAAGCCCTGTAGTAGAGCTGCCAGGTCATCTCTTGGTTCTGTAGGATGTCCCCTGTTGTAAGCAGCAAGTGCTGCCTGTCTCCTGCAGCTTCCTCTCCTTTCTCACCGAAAGCATTTTCTTCCTGACTCTTTACCCTAGTACGTGTGAAGTGGGGTTTGTTTTTTTGCTTGCTTGCTTGCTTGCTTGCTTGAGAAGGATCTCACTAACTGACTTGGAACTCTAAACTAGGCTGGCCTCAGACTCACAGCACATCTTCCTTTGCCTCCCAGTGCTGAGATTTACAGGCGTGTGCCCCACATTTGGCTCTCTCCTCCTTTTAAGTGGTTTCTCATTTTGTCACAGCGGCAAAACTAGTCCAATTAACACGTATTGAACAACACTTTTCATTCATGGGATAAGTCTTCCTCTATCATGACTTACAGTCCTGTGTGGACATGTTGTGGATATTTTTATGTACATTGTGGTATGGCTTGCTAGTACTATTGAGGATTGTGTCCATATGAAACACTCCTTTTTGAAAAGGATTTTGTGAAGAATCAGTGTTAATTTTTAAGCATTTGTTAGAATTTATCAGTGGGTTTTTGTTTTGTTTTGTTTTGTTTTGTTTTAGTCTTTTTGAAACAGGGTCTCTCTGTAGCCCCAGCTGTCCTGGAACTCACTATGTAGACCAGGCTGGCCTTGAACTCACAGAGATCCGCCTGCCTCTGCCTCCCAAGTGCTAGGACTACAGGTATGCGCTATCACGCCCTGCAATTTTTATTATTTTTATTTTATGTGTACGAATGTATTGCCTGCATGTATGTAAGTGCACCCATGTTGTGTAATGTTCATGGAGGTCAAAAGAGGGCGTAGGATTCCCCTGGAACTGGAGTTATAGATGGTTGTTAGCTGCCATGTGGGTGCTGGGAACTGAATCCCCGTCCTCTGAAAAAGCAGTCAGTGCTCTTAACCGCTGAGCCAGCTCTCTAGACCCAGAGTTTATCAGTGTTATTTTGTTGACCTGGACTTTTGTTTTTAAGATTTTTACTTTTATTTTTGTGTATATGTGTGTGTCTGTGTGGTATATACCATGTATGTATGGGTGCCCTTGGAGGCCAAAGAACATTGGATCCCCTGGATTTGGAGGTATAGGCAATTGTAAGCTGCTCAGTGTGGGTGCTGGGATCCAAACTCAGGTCCTCTGGAAGAGCAGAAAGCACTCCTAACTGCTGAGCCGTTTCTCCAGCCAGCCTTGTCTTTATGAAAAGTTTCTGTTGTTTTCAATTTTTGTTTCATTTATTACTGTTAGTGTGTGTGTGTGTGTGTGTGTCTTGAGGGGGGCGGAGAGAGGGATTGTGCATGTGTGTGCCACAGTGGGCGTGTGGAAATCAGAGAACATCTCTGGGGAGCTTGTGCTCTGCCACCATGGTTCCAACAGTCAAACTCAGGTCGTCAGGCTTACAGAGCACACAGTTTTACACAATGAGTCATGTCTCCAGTCCTGTTGTTGTTTGAATTACTGGGTCACTCTTTTGACTTGTTATGTCTGGTCCAGTTTCCTTGATTCAGTTTGAGCAGTTTCTGCCTTTTCAGTAATTTGTTCATCTCATCATGTTGTTTAACTTATTGGCATCCAGTGCCATGTGGTATCCTCATGATCCTTTTATTTCTGTAAGGTCAGTGGCAATGTCCTCTTTTATTTCTGATTTCAATCCTTTGAACCTCCTTTTTATCTTTCTTTCTTTGTGTGTGTGCATTAGTGTGTATGAGTATAGGCGTGCACATCGCACATACACATGCAGAGGCCAGAGAACAATTTCAGGTGGCAGCCTTGCCTCCTACCTTGTTTGAGATAGGGTCCCTCGTTGCTCACTGTGTATGTACTTAAGGCCAGCTGGCCTGAGGGTATTCAGGGATTCTCCCGTTTCCACTTCTCTCTCACTGTGGAAGAGCTGGGATTGCAGACACACTACCACACCTAACTTTCTGTGGGTTTGGGGTCCATCCTCGGGTCCTCATGTTTGATGCTGTTTGATGCACGAGGGCTTTACCCACTAAGCCGTCTCCCCAGTCCTCTTCTTCCCCCTTAAGGTTTTGTCAACTTTGTTGATCTTTTCAAAATATCATCTTTGATTTTGTTCATTTTTCTTTTTCTACATTTTATCTGTTTCTACTCTAATCCTTATTATTTCTTTCCCCACATTCTTGTGAACAGAGCTTTG